CCCGGCACATAATAGATGCCATTTTCAGCTTAAACGCCACTCCCCAGGGAAGTCTTCCTAGATCCTGCAGGCTGGATTAGATCCGCCCTACCCCCTCACACACTTGCAGGTGCAGACAAGCACACACGTGCACTATAAAGCACGTAAATATATATCTTGTATGACACTCATCACAGTTGTAGTTAAAATTATTTTTACAGGGCGCCTGGGTGGCTCAGTCATTAAGCGTCTGCCTTCGGCTCAGGTCATGATCCCAGTGTCCTGGGATGGATGCCCACATCGGTCTCCCTACTCAGCAGGAAGCCTGCTTCTCCCTCTCCCACTCCCCCTGCTTGTGTTCCCTGTCTCGCTATCTCTCTCTGTTGAAAAATAAACAAAATCTTAAAAAAATTATTACAATAAAACAATTACATCATGTTATAATTAAATAATTATTGGCATAATTATCTGTTTAATGTTGCCAGACTATAAACTCCATGAATTTGGGGACCAGGTCTGTCTGATTCCTCTCTGTGTGTTTAGGGCTGAGTACAATGACTAGACTGGGTGGGCACTCCAAATTACTCAATGAATGTGTCTATTAAGTATCTAGGATCTGCCAGGCATTATATTCACATCCCGTCTTCACCATGACTTGGCAAAGTGAATGTGAATTATACTCATTTTTTGATGGGAACCCTGAGGGGACTTGCCCAAGGTCACACAGCTAAACTAAGGATAGGCACTTAAACTCAAGGCAGGCAGTTCTTCGATTCCAATCTACTGAGCTGTCTGGCCCTTGGCGTCCTCCCTCTCCCCGGGCTGTGAAGCCCACACCGTGAGTCTGTTCCTGATTCCCCACTCTTCCCTGTTCCGGACTAACCGCTTCCCCCATCCGCCATCTCAAGCATCTCCCACCATCAAACTTGTTCTTAGAACACATTATTCATACTCAGGTGCAAGTAGTGGACAACTTCGATTTCCCATGGGAAAATGATATAGTTACAAGAGATCAAAGATTTAGGTTTACAGGCCCAAACCCTACTGGGAGAATTTTAGGCATGAGCTAACCAAGAAAGGAGAAATCACACCAGGAGTCCACTGCCTATATTGCTGGCCAAAGGCCAAGTCTGTTTCCGTTGGCTGCCTCTCTTCCTTGACACCACCAGCTTTGTCTGCATTCACCCCAGGGACCCCCTGCCTCTCTTGCCAGGTGAGCAGGCAACCTGGAGCACAGCAGGAAAAGCACTGGCCTAGGTCAGGAGGCTTCTGTTGTTGATAACAGCTCTGCCCCCATGGCTATGTGGCTTTAGGCAGTCCCTTGCACTTTCTGGGCTTCAGTTTCCCTCTCTCCCAGCGGAGGGAGGCGTTGGATGACCTTTCCAATTCCTCCCAGCTCTGGACGTCTGCCTCTGACAGATGGGGCTGTCCGGTCCTGAGTCGTAGGAGCTCACACTTGCAGAGCACGTACTTTGTTTGGGCACTGTTCTAAGAACTCCACATTTATAACTCACTCCATGATGACACTCACACTGGGAGGCATTGTCCCCATTTTACAACTGAAGAGACAGGCCCGGAAGAAGTTCATTTGCTTGCTCAAGGTCATGATTCCATTGTGGCATACAATATTATCCCCAAACTTAGTGGTGTCAAACAACCACCATTTATTCTGTGGGCCAGGCATTTGGGAAGGGCTCCCCCTGAGGAGTTCCTGCTTGTGTGTCCCTCATGCAGCTGCCATCAGATGTCAGTTGGGGCTGCATCAAAGTTAGACACCCGAGATCACTCACTCAGGTGCCTGGTACTTGATGCTGGCTGTCGGCTGGGGGCTCAGCTGGGCCCACTGTGGCCTCTCCAGCAAGCGTGGCTCAGGGTAGTCAGGGTCCTTATGTGGAGGCTGGCATCCGCCAGCAACCCAAGTGAGCCAGGAAGAAGCTGCCGGAAACTTTCTGACCTAGCTTCGGAAGTGACGCATGTCACTTCTGCATTCTACTGGTTACAAGCCAGTCACTAAGGTTGACCCAGACTTAAGGGGAGGTGACATAGACCCTACTGCTCAATGGGAGGGCAGTCAAAGAATGTGCACACATGCTTTAAAACCACCATCGTCACTCAGATGGTAAGTGGAAAAGCTAGAATGGGAGCCTCCAAGCAGGGTCTGCATGCTGAACCGGCACACATGTCTACTTTTAACATTCAGGCCTGGTTCCTGGGAGCCTCACTGCTGGTCAGTCAGACATGCCTCATGGGTCCTTGAGACTCCTTCCCCAGCTCTAGGCCTCCTGAGTGCTGATCTCCCTCTGGCCTGTCTTCTTTCTGCCGTGGTCTCAGGCGGCCAGCAGGGCAGTGGACAGAGCACCGGCCTTCCCCGCTCCCTGTGACCTTGAGTGTGTCATTTCCCCTGTGAAAACCTCTGTTCTTCATCTGTCAGACTGGTGGGGAGGTATTTATCCAATCAAGTATCTACTGAGCACCTGCTTTTTGCTAGGCACTCTTCTAGACTCTGGGAAGGGGGAGAGAGAGACAATAAGCAAATAAGCAAGAAAAAATATGTATGGTGTCATATATATATGATATGTCAGATAGTGATAAGGGCTAGAGAGAAAAAATAAGAGTAAGGAGGATGTGGCATTTCAGGGAGGGGTGTTGCACTTTACAAAGGGTGGTGAGGGAACACTTTCAGAAGAAAGTGATGTTTGAGCACAGCGCTGCGAGAGTGAGCCACACAGCTATCTGGAGGGAAAAGTGTTTCAGTGAGAGGGAATAGCAAGGTCAGGACAGTGGATCTGGAGCGGAGTGAGCCAGTGGTGTGGTAAGAGGTAGGACAGAGAGGGAGCGGAGCCAAAGGACTTAGGACTGCGTCCAAATTGTGAAATGAGTCCAAGTGAAATGAGACCCCGGGAGGGTTTTTGGTAGAGAAGCAGCAACCTCTGACTTCTGTTTTTGACATCCTGATACTGACCTTGAAGATGGAGGAGGCCATGAGCAAGAACCAGAGAGCCATTTCTAGGAGTTAAGAGCAACTCCCCAGCAAAAGGCCAGCGAGGAAACTGGGGCCTTGTCCCATAGCCACAAGAAACAGCAAACTGCTAACAACCTGAAGGAGCTACAAGCGGATTCTTCTGCAGAGCCTCCAGATAAGAGCCCTGTCTGGCTGATACATTGTGAGGCCCCAAGCAAAGAACACTGTTAAAACTGCTTAGATTTCTCACCTACGTGACTGTCCACTAATATGTGGATGTTGTCAAGCCTCTTAGTGTGTTATGCAGCAACAGAAAACTAATGTACATGTTATCTGAACCCTCACAGCCACCCAAGATAGAGGGTCTCCCCATTGTACAGACAAGGGAACAGGTCAGTGAGGTGAACCGCTTTGCCCTAGGCCACACAGAAGGGTAGTGCCACAGCTGGGATCGAAACTCTGGGATCTTGCCTTCGCCCCAGGCTGCTCTGTAAAGAGTGTGTGAGAGCAGTTGGCCGAGGTTAGACATCTGGGGCTTGGCAGGATGGGGACCTCAGGCCCTGGGTTAGAGAATGGAGTTCGGGTTTCTGATTGTGATTGTGTTCATCCTGGGGGCTCCGAGTGTCTGAACCCATGTGTGTGTGAGTCTGAAGACTGTGGGTCCCTGGAGGCGTATATGTGGGTGTGTCTGTGTGAGCGTGTGATCCTGGTGGAGTGTGTCTCATTGTCTGTGTGCGTGTGTGAGGGAATGGATCCACCACCCGGAGTGACTGAGACTATATGTCTGTGTCTGGGTGTGAGCATGTGTGTGCGCACTGAAGTGTGTTTGAGCGACTCTCTGGGTCTGGGTCTGAAGGTTACCATGTATGAGTCAGCCAGTGTTTGCTAGCATCTGTGTGTATGAGTGAATCAGTGCTCAGGGAGTCAATGGTGGGGGGCACTGAGTGTCTCTGTGTGCAGATCTGAGAGTGTGCATCATCAGAGTGTATAAGTGTCTCTGTGTGTGAATTTTAGGATGTCTGTGAGTAGTGTGGGTGCATGAGAGTGTGTGTGCCTGTCTGAACTTCTCTGTGGGTTTGTGTGGGATCTGACGGTCTCCCTGTGTGGGCGGCGGGGGGGGGGGGTCCCTGCTTTTCACTCTGAGTGCGTCTGCAGGTCTCCTTCTGAGTCAGTGTGTGTCTGTGGGTGTATCTACCTCTGTGGATCTTGTGTGAGAGTCTGAGGGTGTCCAAAGGTGTACCTACCTGTGTGGGTCTCTGGAAATGGTCAGAAGGTGTCTGTGGATTGATTCAGCAAGCGTCTCTATGAGTGAGTTTGTGGGTGCATCTCTCCGGGTGTGTGTGTGTGAGCCTGAGGGTGTCTTGCAGAGAGAATGCTATCGCGTGGGAGCCTGTTTCAGCTCCTCTGCGGGTTCATGTGCGAATCTGAGGGTCTCTGTGTGGGATGCTGAGTGCGGTGCGGCGGTCGCTCTGAGTGTGTCCCTCCTGAGCTTGTCTTCGTCCCCAGGTGAGGCCTGTCTCTGTCGGTGACAGGACGCCTGCGTCCGGGGCGAATCTGAGGGCTGAGCCTGGGGTCGGGACAGAGCGGGAGGGGGTGGGGAGCGAGGGGCACGGCCCCGGGACGAGGGCACAACCCTTTCCGCCCGCTCCTCCCACGGGGCACGCACACCTGCGGGGCTGGGGGCGGCGAGGAGGGGCCCCGCCCGCGCCCTCCCGGCTCCCACGCCCCCGCGCGCG